TCAGTTCAAAACGTAGCGATACTCTTAAAGGAGAAAAGTTCTTTATTAAAGATCGTTTCTTTGATTGGTTATTCAATAATATTTATCATAAGGGTTTCTTAAGAATGTCAATCGAAAAAGAATGTGTTTGTCACAATAAAAAACAGTGTTCGCCAGCGGTTAAAAAAACAAACAAAAAGGCGTTCATTTTGTTCAATCAGACTTGAAAAGTACAGTAGAGTGTATCTTAATTCATCACTTACACCAGTAATAATCAGGATTCTGTGTTATCCATATAATTAAAACTGCAAAAATTGTCATATGGCATCCAGTAACCGCTTAACTCGGATATAAATAGTAAATCATGACCTCAATGGTGCTTTCAGTGCAAACAGTTGACAAAGAAGTACTGATAACTACGTGAGACACTTGTTTATGCTAGTACTGTTTCGACAGTAAAAGCTGCTCGAAATGCTATAATGGTGTGGAAAATGTTATTGTGGAAGGGGGTGTAGTTCTTTTATTCTTTTACCCCCGAATAATTACACCCAGAGTATATAGTGGAAGGGGGTTAAGTCATTTTATTCTTTTACACCCGGATAATTACAACCAGAGTATATAGTGGAAGGGGGTTAAGTCCTTTTATTCTTTTACCCCCGGATAATTACAACCAGAGTATATAGTGGAAGGGTGGTTAAGTCCTTTTATCATTTTACCCCGGATAATTACAACCAGAGTATATAGTGGAAGGGTGGTTAAGTCCTTTTATCATTTTACCCTGGATAATTACAACCAGAGTATATATAATTAACAATTATGATGTTAGAAAAACACGAAAGTTCAAGAACTCAATTTAACACAAATATACGAAACCCTATAACCCGAGCCATGTCGAAATGTGGACCTTTCTTCTTCAGGGGCAAACTGTTGCTTGTCACAGGGCTGCATTTCCACCCTGATGCTCAAATTGCCTAAAACTGAATCGGAGAGTATGATAGTACTTTGATCATCTTCCTTGGCCAGTATAATCACCAAAGTTAAGGACTGCCGAAATCTGTGAACGAATTGCAAACCAAATTCTTCCCGCATTTTGTGGAACCTGTGCCGCGCTGAACCCATGCTATTTTCACGAAGAAAGGTGGTTGAAACCAATATTAGATAGAAATCTTTACAAAGTGGCCAATCTGTGTACTATTACACATAGTAATTCACACATTATGCACGATTTTGTCGTCATTCTAAGGTCCATAAAAATAGAAATAAAACTGTTTTATAAGTCATTTTAAAACTACAACTGTTCAGGATTTAATATTCTTTATTAAAGATATTAAAGTTTATATAAGACGACTATGAACTGTTAAATTGATTATTTTATAATCTAATAAACATGTAATATTTAAAAACTGGTTTAATTGGTTATTTACCTACTAAAAGAATATAATAAACAAGCAACGTTGTGTAGCGATTGTTTAAAAACTTGGCTAATTGATTATCTACCTACTAAAAGAATCTAATAAACAAGCAGCGTTGTGTAGCGATTATTTAAAACTTGGCTAATTGATTATCTACCTACTAAAAGAATCTAATAAACAAGCAACGTTGTGTAGCGATTATTTAAAAACTTGGCTAATTGATTATCTACCTACTAAAAGAATCTAATAAACAAGCAACGTTGTGTAGCGATTATATAAAAACTTGGCTAATTGATTATCTACCTACTAAAAGAATCTAATAAACAAGCAACGTTGTGTAGCGATTAATCAAACTCTCATCTAAACATCTATACGTTGGGTAATTCAGTTAATTTTCCATTAAAATGAGTTTAATCTTGTAAGGCTTTCCATTATTGTGTAGAAATAGCAGTTGCTTTACAAAACTGGCAAGTCTGTGTATTCAACAATGTAGACTTAATAATTCTGAAATCTGACAATCAGATGTTGGGTAAGTGTTGCAGTTTGTTTTTGTTGTTGTTGTTTTGTTGGTGTTTATTTGTTTGTTTGTTTTTTGTTGTTGGTTTTTATTTGTTTTGTTTGGTGTTGTTTATTTGTTTGTTTGTTTTGTTTATTGTTATTGTTTGTTTGTTTGTTTTGTTTATTGTTATTATTTATTTGTTTGTTTGTTTTGTTTATTGTTATTATTTATTTGTTTGTTTGTTTTGTTTATTGTTATTATTTATTTGTTTTGTTGTTGGTCTTTATTTGT